GGTGTCCTTACAGAGGGACGGGGTTACCGCTCTGGTAATTGCAGGGGTGACAGTGACTTTGCTTTGTGTGTTTCAGAAGTGTGGGGACTTCCCTCTGCCCCTGCCCACACAGGAGGACACCATGAAGGCCAAGAGAGCCAGGACACAAGGTGAGGGTCTGCCGTACACACGCGCCACTGCTCTGCATGCAGGTACGGAGCGGCACTGCTACACTGCACACACTGGCCCCGGTGTGTAGAAAGGTTCCTAAAGTTTGCATTTCATTTTATGGGGTTATTTTCAAACTGCACTGTTAGGTGCTGGCTCATCTTATCTATTGATAACGTGTTCAGACTAAGTTAGATTCCTATAACTTGCCCGGTGATAATTGACCATTACCTAAGCCCATTCCTAAGACACTGGCATCACAGCCGTTAGCGTGAATTAGGAGAGATAGCAAGATACTTTGGGTTATGGCTCATTTCTAGCTTGTCCTGCATGGTGTGAGAGTGTGAGTCTAACACATGGGTAATAATCGCAGCAGCTCGGTGTGTCTAAAGTGCCGAGACGCAGCGCAGTGCAGCAGCAGGGTGTTCCCGCGGCAGTGACGTTCTCGCCGCTGTGTGGCTTTCAGAGACGATGGAGTACTGCCTGGACGCAGACGGGCCCACTCACATGGGGGTCTTGGCCTGCGCTGAGGACTTCTACTTCAAGCACTGCCAGCAGGTAACCGGCCTGGACCTGGGCGCGGCCCCAGGGACACCCCGCCAGAGCCCGCGGATCCAGTAACACGGCGTATTTCAGTGGCAGAACGATTACAGAAGTGCTAATCCCCTTCCAAGGTTTTTTTTTTCTTTGACTCCAATATCCCCCTGGACGTTTGCAGACTGAAGTACGGCGTTCGAGTCTCGAGGCCGTTGGCCGCCCAGCGCGGCGCTGTGGGCGATTCAGCGCCGGCGCCTTCGCTGCGATTCCCACCACGAGCTGGGCTCGGGCACGCCCTCTCTCCTGGGGCTGGAGTCCTCACGCCCGCAGCGCTTGTGCTGACGTCCTGGGCTGGGGCAGGGGGGTTCATACACTTCCAACACACTGATATTTACAAGCAAGGACTGTCCTGCGAGTGGAGTGCGGGCAGTGGACAGTGAGTGACTCTGTGAGGTCTTTTTGTGGTTAAACAGCAGTTTGATTTTCACCCCAGTGGTGCTTCGTTCTGTGTTAATTTCCAGGCACCCTAGCTGTAGTGGAGTGTTGATTTTCTCCATGTCAGGAGCTGGCAGCACAAACTCTCTCCTTGTTCGGTGCTTGTCTCAGCTGCCCCCCCCCACCCCTCTCTCTTTCAGTCATACAAGATGACCTCTCGTCCCAGAGGGCTGGCGCTGGTCATCAGCAACGTGGACTTCCAGCCCGTGACCCCTGACCTGGAGCCGCGGGCGGGCGGGGAGGTGGACGAGGAGACGCTGTCCCGGCTGTTCACCGAGCTGGGCTTCAGGGTGACCCTCCACCGGAACCAGACTGCGCAGGTACAGCGTGGAGCTCCGGGGGCTTGTTCAGCACTCCCTCCTCCTCTCCCCTCTGCCCCTTCCGCTTTCTCGGGCCGACAGTTGACGACGTGCAAGTCGACCGGCAGCAGCGCTGGCATCTTCTGGCCTGGTGCGATCAGAGCTGAGCGGCTAAGCACAGCTGTACTGGGTCACACTAGGCGGCTGAAAAAAGTGCGTTATGGTCAGGACAGAAAAGATTACAAACAAGATGGTGCTGTGCTATGGGAAGCACTGCCCTTTGTACGCGAGTCCAACGGGACCCGACTAACAAGACCTGTTGCGTCTCAGTGCTGTCTGCTGTGCAGAAGGGAACAGTCTGGGGAAAAGTGCAGTCCTGCCCCGCCTGCTCTGTTCCTGCTCCTCTTGTGCATCACACGCTCTCTCTCCCCGTACCGCGCGGCGTCACTGTGCCGTGGCGTGCCTGTATGAACCTCTCTCCCCGTCTCGCCCTCAGGAGGTAAGGGCCAGTCTGGAGCAGTTCTCTCAGAGCTCGGAGCTGCGGGCGGTGGACTCCAGCGTGGTCTGTCTCCTCTCTCACGGCGTGGAGGGGGCAGTCTATGGCACTGACGGGCAGCTGGTGGAGGTCTGTCAGCATTCCCATGGTCTGTCCGTTCGTGTGTTGGTTTGAGTGCCTTGTCAGTGACCGTGTCCTGTGTCTGTGTGTCTGTCTGTCGGGGTCGGCTTGAGTGCCATCGTCTGGCCACGTCCGTTGACACAGTGCCTCTTGTCTGTTCGCATCCCAGTCAGTGGCAAGCCCCTGTCTCTGTGTCTGAATTTCAGTCTGCACCGGGTCTGTTTTTCCAAGCAGCCTCCAAAATACCCAAGTACTGGTGTGACGTAATCAGCTGCTCTTTCTATATCCGGATCTGTCTGCATTTATCAGTATACCTCTGTCACTCAAGGGCTCTCTTTCCCTGTAAGAGGAATTCAGTAGCATTCTCCCCGCATTTCTCCTTCCCTGGATGGACGGTTCACCGTCTCTCTTCCTCTGCCTGAGTAGTTCAGTATCACTCTCACTGCATCTCTCTTCCTCTGTTTGGTCAATAAATATCAGTCTCGCTGTCTTCCTCTTCCTCTGCACGAGTACTTCAGTATCGCTCTCACTGCATCTCTCTTCCTCTGTTCGGTCAATA